AATTAAGAAACACAGGGTGGAAGTGGGAGGAGTGATGTTACATTGAGGTGCTTTGATTCTCTAGTGCTGTTCTAACAGAAGATACCACAAATGGGTGGGTGGCTTTAACAAACAGGAATTTACTCTGTTACAGTTTTGGAGGCGAGAAGTCCAAGTTCTAAATGCCAAGCTTTAGGGGCTTGGTGAAGACCCCTTGACCTTGGCTTTCAGCTCTGCCTCTTGCTCCAGGCCCACTGGAACTGGAGGCGTCTCTTCACTCAGGCACCTGCTGGATGCTGAATGTGACAAACCCAAGGTCAACAAATAAAATGACACGATTCTGATATTACCGAACAACTTGGCAGGCCACCTGTTCAAGCCCATAGACACTCATAAGACTGGCAGGAAGCATGGCAGGCTGCTGAATGAAGACTTGGCTACATGGAGGGTCCAAGCATGCCACAAAGCTCAGAGACCTTTCTCAATGCTTCTTTTATGTACTGGAAGCAGACCACACCCCTGAGGCAGCTGCTGAGCTGCTCACTGCAGAGTCCACCATGGAGTTGTTTACCAGTCTCGTCATGGGGCATAACAATATCCAGCTGCCCAGCCACTCAAAACTAGGGCCAGCCAAGTTGACACACAACTGAATTACCATCAGGTGATTGCAGTCAATGACATAAAACAAAATGTGTGTAAATCATTGAATGGACAACTGATAGGTCCTGTAAACTTTCATGGAAATCACATTCAAAAGTTTTTTAATAAAAAGATATCAGTCAGGGACATTTTGCCATTCTTTTCTAGGCAATATTCCATCATATATGGACACATAACATTTATATAGTTGGTTCATGAACTGCAGACTGAAGGTAAACAAAGAAAAAACACTCAGGGAAAAGAGCAGCTGTTCCTAGAGTATCTTGAATTTTTGTTTTTGTTTTCTTTTGTTTTCCCAGTTCAAGGGAAGGTTGAAAGAAAGTCTTTTGTTTGGAGTATCTGTATACTTAAGATTCACACTCTGCTTAATATCGTGCTGAGTATCAGTGTCTGTCACTGTGAACATTTTAAATGGTCCTTCTAGGCATATGTGTGATTATTTTTTCTGTCAGAGTAGCTTCACACCACACATTCTGTTTCTTTTTAATGCACTGGCTTCATTCATCACATCAGAATTAGAGGAATGTCATCACTTTTTAATAGTTGCATAGTTTTGAATGGCACCGTTGTTGTTAGTTGCTGTAAAGTCAGTTCCAACTGATAGTGACTCTGTGTATAACAGAATAAAACACCGCCTGGTCCTGTGCCATCCTTATAATTGTTGCTGTGCTTGAGCCCATTGTGGTAGCCACTGTATCACTCCATCTTGTTGAGGGTCTTCATTTTTTTTGCTGACCCTTTACTTTAGCAAGCATGGTATCTTTCCATAGGAACTGGTCCCCCTGGTAATATGAACAAAGTACAAGAGACGAAGACAGGCCATTCTCGCTACTAAGGAGCATTCCAGCTATACTTCTTCCAAGACAGATTTGGTCATTCTGGTTGTCCATGGCATGTTCAGTATTCTTAGACCAAAACTCTAATTCAAATGCATAAATTCTTTAATCATTTCTTCATTTAGGTTCTTTTCAGCTTTTAACCATTATCAGCATACCTCTGCATAAATCTCCATGTGCATATAAAATTCCTTTAGTCTCAGATATGGAGTTTCTGATTCACAGGATTTAAAGGGGGGTTCAAATACTACTTCCACACAATTCTAAATTTGTACCAACTTAGTGTCTGTTTTCCCATAACATTGCTAATATGGGAAA